TCTTTGCACTGCGTCCAGCACCACCGAAGCCACGTCCTCTGCCACGTCGGCTCCCTTGCATCCCGTAGCCGCTGCTGCCGTCGTCTCCACCCCTCAGTTGGCGGCGACGGAAGTCCTCCTCCAGAATCTTCGTCCGCACCCACTCGAGCGTCCACAAGCTCTGGTTCTGCGGCAGGCTCAATCCGCTCGTGAATTGAAGCCACGATTCAGGCAGCAGCGAGAGCATCTTCAAGCACTTGGTCTGCTCCGGGTAGGTGATTCCCGTGGTCGCCAACTTCGCGTAGAGGTCGCGCATCTTGTCCAGGACTGGTTGCACCGGCTCTCCCTCGCTCAGGCGCAACGCGGACAGCTCCCTCTCCAGCATCAACGTTGCGACAACGGAGGTCGGGGCGTGCAGCTCCTTCAACACGGTCCACGCCTTCGGACCGCATTCAACCTCCGGCAGCAGGTGCATGACGTGGTGACGCTGGTTCAGCTCCAAACTCTGCGACATCAAATAGTAGCCAGCCGAGGAGCGCTCGTCCCAATCTTCCTGCAGCGTGGGGTCACTCGGTCTAGGCTCCTCCCCAGTCATTAGTTTCAGCAAACCGATCTGACGGAAATATAATTGCATTTTCCAGGCCCAATCATCATAGCCCTCACCATTGAACTTCTCGACGGTGAAATTCTTCAGCACCTCCTTGACAAGCGAGCCCTGGTTTGTTCGCGCTCCCCTTGGCGCTGAAAGACCAGAATCTTGGCTGCCGCTACGATCTTGGGCTGAAGATTCACCAGCTCCCGCCGAGGTGTTGCCCGCCATAGCTACCTATAACGAGGATCACTATAACGCAGCTCTGATACCAGCTTGTTGGTGTAAGGGCCTAATAAACTCAAGCTATTAGGACTTAATCAAACTTAAAACCTCTCCTCGGGGTCACCTCCAAGGGTCCCTGGGTGCCTGGTACAAGACCAGCCCTATCCTCGGGTCCGAGTTTGTAGAGAGAGGGATCAAGAAGGACTTAGTCAAAACAGCAAGAGTACCTTGAACGTCGCGCAGCGTGCCATGCAGACCGTCGGTCGGATTAAGCTGAGAATTCGCTATATCGAAGCTCGCTCCAAGAGCTTTAAAATGAGCCAAGTTGCCTCGCGAAAAGTTCTGCCATTACTAAGTTATGGCTCGGACAGCGTTTGCCTAGCGTTGGAGTGCTAGCATACTAGCGTTGACTCGGGTAGCATTCCGCCGTCGAATAGCGCAGAAACGAAATTCCAGCGAGGAAGGAATTCGCTTGAATCAATTTGACTATATTCAGGTACAAACAGAGAAGGATTAAATAGTTCTAGCTAGCAAGGACCTTGGGAATCAACCTGGGAACAACCAGGGATGATCCCAAATAATTCCAAGCAACAGAACCAACCTGGCTGGACAAAATAGCAGGTGGTAGGTTGGTAAACAACCTCTGGTTCTGTTTTTCCAACCTGGGAAAACAACAACCAGGTTCAGGTTCTAAAAACAGAACCTGTTTTGTCTTTGCCCAACCAGCCAAATGCTGGTTCCGCTGGTTTCCCCTGGCCTTGTAGCATGCAGATACAGACAAACAACATCCAACCTTCACCTAAATTGTACCCCTATAGTGCCTTCTGTTGGTGTAAGGGCCTAATAAACTCAAGCTATTAGGACTTAATCAAACTTAAAACCTCTCCTCGGGGTCACCTCCAAGGGTCCCTGGGTGCCTGGTACAAGACCAGCCCCTATCCTCGGGTCCGAGTTTGTAGAGAGAGGGATCAAGAAGGACTTAGTCAAAACAGCAAGAGTACCTTGAACGACGCGCAGCGTGCCGTGCAGACCGTCGATCGGATTAAGCTGAGAATTCGCTATATCGAAGCTCGCTCCAAGAGCTTTAAAATGAGCCAAGTTGCCTCGCGAAAAGTTCTGCCATTACTAAGTTATGGCTCGGACAGCGTTTGCCTAGCGTTGGAGTGCTAGCATACTAGCGTTGACTCGGGTAGCATTCCGCCGTCGAATAGCGCAGAAACGAAATTCCAGCGAGGAAGGAATTCGCTTGAATCAATTTGACTATATTCAGGTACAAACAGAGAAGGATTAAATACTTCTAGCTAGCAAGGACCTTGGGAATCAACCTGGGAACAACCAGGGATGATCCCAAATAATTCCAAGCAACAGAACCAACCTGGCTGGACAAAATAGCAGGTGGTAGGTTGGTAAACAACCTCTGGTTCTGTTTTTCCAACCTGGGAAAACAACAACCAGGTTCAGGTTCTAAAAACAGAACCTGTTTTGACTTTGCCCAACCAGCCAAATGCTGGTTCCGCTGGTTTCCCCTGGCCTTGTAGCATGCAGATACAGACAAACAACATCCAACCTTCACCTAAATTGTACCCCTATAGTGCCTTCCCTGCTACACTATAGTTAACCAAACAAAACAGTACAATTTCGAGTTGGATAGAACTGAATCTGCGCAATCAACTCAACCGAACTGCAAAGCTTCCATCTTGGGTTCCTTTGCGAGCTCGTCCTTCCTGCTTGCACTGTTCATAGCGCATACAATGTTGTGCCGAAGCGCACATTGTGCGAGTACCTGCAAATGCATCAAGCGAAAATTGCGAAAGCAAACAAACACACGAACATTCCATTCACACCCAAATGCATTCGCACACGCATACTCGTACAAACAGACGGCAGGATGTCGTGCAATGTGCATTTGCACCCAACAGTTGTTGTTTTCCTAGGTTGGAAAAACAGAACCAGAGGTTGTTTACCAACCTACCACCTGCTATTTTGTCCAGCCAGGTTGGTTCTGTTGCTTGAAATTATTTGGGATCATCCCTGGTTGTTCCCAGGTTGATTCCCAAGGTCCTTGCTAGCTAGAACTATTTAATCCTTCTCTGTTTGTACCTGATGTTGGTGTAAGGGCCTAATAAACTCAAGCTATTAGGACTTAATCAAACTTAAAACCTCTCCTCGGGGTCACCTCCAAGGGTCCCTGGGTGCCTGGTACAAGACCAGCCCCTATCCTCGGGTCCGAGTTTGTAGAGAGAGGGATCAAGAAGGACTTAGTCAAAACAGCAAGAGTACCTTGAACGTCGCGCAGCGTGCCGTGCAGACCGTCGGTCGGATTAAGCTGAGAATTCGCTATATCGAAGCTCGCTCCAAGAGCTTTAAAATGAGCCAAGTTGCCTCGCGAAAAGTTCTGCCATTACTAAGTTCTGGCTCGGACAGCGTTTGCCTAGCGTTGGAGTGCTAGCATACTAGCGTTGACTCGGGTAGCATTCCGCCGTCGAATAGCGCAGAAACGAAATTCCAGCGAGGAAGGAATTCGCTTGAATCAATTTGACTATATTCAGGTACAAACAGAGAAGGATTAAATATTTCTAGCTAGCAAGGACCTTGGGAATCAACCTGGGAACAACCAGGGATGATCCCAAATAATTCCAAGCAACAGAACCAACCTGGCTGGACAAAATAGCAGGTGGTAGGTTGGTAAACAACCTCTGGTTCTGTTTTTCCAACCTGGGAAAACAACAACCAGGTTCAGGTTCTAAAAACAGAACCTGTTTTGTCTTTGCCTAACCAGCCAAATGCTGGTTCCGCTGGTTTCCCCTGGCCTTGTAGCATGCAGATACAGACAAACAACATCCAACCTTCACCTAAATTGTACCCCTATAGTGCATTCCCTGCTACACTACAAACAAAACAGTACAATTTCGAGTTGGATAGAACTGAATCTGCGCAATCAACTCAACCGAACTGCAAAGCTTCCATCTTGGGTTCCTTTGCGAGCTCGTCCTTTCTGCTTGCACTGTTCATAGCGCGTACAATGTTGTGCCGAAGCGCACATTGCGCGAGTACCTGCAAATGCATCAAGCGAAAATTGCGAAAGCAAACAAACACACGAACATTCCATTCACACCCAAATGCATTCGCACACGCATACTCGTACAAACAGACGGCAGGATGTCGTGCAATGTAAATTTGCACCCAACACCTGAATATAGTCAAATTGATTCAAGCGAATTCCTTCCTCGCTGGAATTTCGTTTCTGCGCTATTCGACGGCGGAATGCTACCCGAGTCAACGCTAGTATGCTAGCACTCCAACGCTAGGCAAACGCTGTCCGAGCCATAACTTAGTGATGGCAGAACTTTTCGCGAGGCAACTTGGCTCATTTTAAAGCTCTTGGAGCGAGCTTCGATATAGCGAATTCTCAGCTTAATCCGATCGACGGTCTGCACGGCACGCTGCGCGACGTTCAAGATACTCTTGCTGTTTTGACTAAGTCCTTCTTGATCCCTCTCTCTACAAACTTTTGACCCGAGGATAGGGGCTGGTCTTGTACCAGGCACCCAGGGACCCTTGGAGGTGACCCCGAGGAGAGGTTTTAAGTTTGATTAAGTCCTAATAGCTTGAGTTTATTAGGCCCTTACACCAACATGATGCTATTGTTGCATATATACCTCTGCATGTGAACTGGTCTTGTGACCTCTTGCTCTCCCCCACTTTGCCTATGGGGGTGTGTCAAACATACGCATATGTTATATTTGTGGGTAGGCTGTAGTGGGGTATAACCCCTTAGGGTTTTCTCCTTGCACCAAAATCTCTCGATAGTCAACTCATTCATGCCTAAGTTTAAGAGATAGGAGTGTCAGAAATAACTGAGCAGGAATGGATGAACTAGAACAGAGTTTGGTACAAGTAGGAAACCCTAAGTTTGTGTACCCCCTAAGGTGTAACCCACTACAGCCTAGACAATATAAACATGCAATGTTTGACACACCCCCATAGGCGCAGTGGGAGACAGCCACAGGGTCACAAGACCAGTCAAAGCAAAGCAAAACAAGCTCAGGGTGGATCTCAAGGATTCCACACAAATTCCGAGCACAAGCAAGCGGTCACAAGACCAGTTCACATGCAGGTTTATAACAAAGCAAGAGATACAGTGATCACAACCTAGCAAACGTAAACAAGTAGGCATATATATATAGTGATCACAGTACAAGCAAGGTCAAGAGGTAAGTAAGTGAGGCCCAGTAGGTACAAGGCCTAGCAGAGTGCAAAAGCGCTGATGGTCACAAGGCTGAAGCGCCTTGGTGAACACATCAGCAGTGTTGGCCTCCGTGGCCACGTAACGCAGACAAAGCTGACCACGCTGCTGCAGCTCTCGAGCCAGGAAGTACCGCAGAGCGATGTGCTTCGTTCTGTGCTCCAGTCTGTGCTCCTCACACAAGGCAATGGCAGCCTTGTTGTCGACGTACAGCACTGGAGGAGAACGAGGCCGCTCTCCGAGGTCGGTCAGCAGGTAGGTCAGCCAGCGTAGCTCCTGAGCGGCCATGGCTGTGGCGTAGATCTCAGCCTCACAACTGGAGCTGAGAACAGAAGAAGAGCGAGTAGAACGCCAAGAAACTGTGCCAGAGCCAAGGCTGAAGGTGTAACCCTGGGACGACCGCTGAGTAGCCTGGTCGTCTGCCCAAGAAGCGTCTGAGTGCCCTGTGAGAACAACCCGGTCTCGCCCTCCAAGCACAAGCCCCATGCCCGACGTACTGCACAAGTAGCGCAACACCCTCTTAGCAGCATCCATGTGCTCCTTCCGGTGACGGCCAGGAGCGACATAGCGTGCTAGGATGCTAAGAGGGTATGCAAGGTCAGGTCGAGTGCAGGTCATCAGGTACATGAGGCAGCCCACAAGCTCTGGATACGGGCCACTCGGCTCTACGGACTCATCCGAAGGCAGAGCTGAGAGCGAGTGACCGGTAGGCAGAGGAGTGGACTGAGGCGAGGAGTACGTGAAGCGGAAGCGCTGGAGAACCTGCTGCACCATGTGTGACTGAGTCAGGGTGATGGTGCGCCGTGCTCTGTCCCGGGTGATCCGCAAGCCAAGATAGCTCGTCAGCTCACCCAGGTCTGTGCACGTGTGTCTCCTCTGCAGCTCCGACTTCACGTGAGCGAGTGCCGCGGTGTCAGCAGTGGCAAAGACCAAGTCGTCGACGTACACGAGGATGTAGAACGGCGGCAGCGAGGTGTCGGTGCGTAGAAACAGCGACGGGTCAGCAGTAGAGGGAGCGAACCCAAGAGCCGCAAGTGTCGTCCTCAGTGTGTCGTGCCACTCACGTGGCGCCTGGCGGAGACCGTAGACCGGCCGCTGAAGCCTCCACTGGGTGCCAGGAGGAAATGACCCAGTGAAGCCAGGGGGGCGGCGCAGCCAGATCTCCTCGTGCAGGCTGCCCTGCAAGAAAGCAGTGCTGAAGTCAAGAGAGTGAAGCTCGTAGTCGCGGTGAGCGGCTATGTGCAGCAGCACCCGAAGAGTAGTCATCTTCGGGGTGGGGGAGAAGGTCTGAAAGAAGTCTACTCCCTCTCGCTGACTGAAGCCTCGAGCCACGTAGCGCGCCTTGAAGACAGGTGGAGAACCCGGCGGCCGCTTCACCCTGAAAATCCACATGCCACTGACGATGTTCGCCCCAGGAGGGGGAACCTCGTCTACGTAGGTGCCTGTGGACTTCCAGGAGGCCATCTCTGCGTCCATGGCTGTCTGCCACTGAGAGGAGTAGGGACCCGCTATCGCCTCAGCGTAAGAGCGTGGGGTCGGGATGTCTGGTGCATCCGGGTCTCCCTCAGGGGCAACTAGCAAGGACACGAGACGGGGCAAAGCAGCAGCAAGTCCTCCTGTCTGTCCTCAAGGACGTCCGTGCCGAGGGCACACTCACCCCCGACGGACGGAGGACAGGAAGACGCAGACTCAGACCTAGCGACAAGGCTGGCAGCGTAGTCTAGGCGACAGCGAGCAGCAAAGTCAACCAACTCAGCGACCAGAGCAGACGCAGCAGAGGACTCAAAGGTCGGGTCCGTGACAACTGTAGCGAGGAGACGCGTAACAGTGGGACTGGCAGCACGACGAGAGTCAGACTCCGGGTCAGGAAGAGTAGGAAGAGAGGACGCAGGAGGAGACGGCAGCGGGACACGCTGCGGAGCAGTGGAGGGACGCAGAGTCATGTAGTGAGTGCCAGGGACAGGAGGAGGACGCTCACGTGGGACACGACGACCAGTGCGAGCAGTACGAACAGGCGACGCAGGACGAGACTCAGGCTCACGACGCTCTGTAAGACCTCCTGTGGGACCAGCGTAAGGGGAGGGAGCAGGGAGAGGCGAGACAGGCGGTAACTGTGACTGCGGCTGGACAGGCGGAGGACACGCTACGGAGGGAGGAGGACTAAGAGGAGGAGCCTGACCAAGAACCTGCTGAAGGAGCGGTACGAAGTACGGTCGCGGCCGCGCAGCGTCTCCAGAAACAGCAGGGACACCAGTGGCAGCCCCAACGCCCGAGTCCTCAGCACCAGCAGCAGCTCCAACGCCCGGGTCCTCAGCACCAGCAGGAGCTCCAACGCCCGAGTCCTCAGCACCAGCAGCAGCACCACCGGTCGGGTCCTCAGCACCAGCAGCAGGGCCACTGGTCAGGTCCTCAGCACCAGCAGCAGCGCCACCGGTCGGGTCCTCAACACCAGCAGCAGCTCCAACGCCCGAGTCCTCAGCACCAGCAGCAGGGCCACTGGTCAGGTCCTCAGCACCAGCAGCAGCGCCACCGGTCGGGTCCTCAACACCAGCAGCAGCTCCAACGCCCGGGTCCTCAGCACCAGCAACAGCACCACCGCTCGGGTCCGCAGCACCAGGAGCACCACTACGAAGACTGCAGCGCCGCGTGTACCACTCGCGGATCACCTGAATGGGGGGGAGCTCCTGGGTAGGAGGGGAAGTACCGGGACGAGCTCCAGAAGCACCTCTCCGGAGGCGGCAGTACTCGAGGTACCTCTCCTGCAGCTGCTGGGAGGAGAGGGCTCCTCCAGGTGGAGTACCCCCAGACTCAGCACCCCCAGACTCAGCACCCCCAGACTCAGCACCCCCAGACTCAGCACCCCCAGACTCAGCACCCCCAGACTCCGCACCTCCAGGCTCCGCACCTCCAGGCTCAGCACCCCCAGGCTCCGCACCTCCAGGCTCAGCACCCCCAGGCTCCGCGCCTCCAGGCTCAGCACCCCCAGGCTCCGCACCTCCAGGCTCAGCACCCCCAGACGCAGGACGCGAGTCAACAGCTACCTCGACAGGCTCACCCGGGTCTACCTGGGACACACCTGAGGGAGCGGCACCCTGAGGGGGGAGGGGGTCTGGTACCTCAGCACCTGGAGCGAGGAAGAGAGGCGGGGGGGGGAGTGGGGCAGTGCGGTAGGGGAAGAGGCGGTAGAAGGGGACGGACTCGTCAAAAGTGACGTCCTGAGAGGCCAGAACCCGGCGCGAGGTGACGTGGTAAAACTGCCATCCAGGCGCGTCGGGAACAAAGCCAAGAAAGACACAGGGAACAGTGCGACGTGAGAGCTTGTCCGCAGACGTGTCGCGGACAAAGGCTCGAGATCCCCAGACCCGGAAACGCGACGCATCGCCAACCTCTCCCATCCACCGTAGAGTCGGGGAAGTCTCCGGCAAGGAGACACGGGGCCAGAGGTTGAGCTGATGTGCTGCGTACCGGACCGCAAACGGCCACAGAAAGTGGGGAGCAGCCGCATGGGTCAGGGAGGTACGAGCGACCTCCATGACTAAGCCAATGCGGCGCTCAGCAACCCCATTCTGCTGTGGAGAGGCCGGAAGCGTGTACGACTGCTCAATGCCGTGCTCAGCACAGTAGGCTGCCAAGAGGTCGGAGGCGAACTCACCACCCCTGTCAGAGTGCAAGCGCAGGACAGGAAAGTCCGAGTGAAAGCGCTCGCCTAGCTGGAGACGGGCTCGGCTGATCCAGGGGATCAAAACACCAGGGACGTCACCCTTGGCGCGCAAGGGGAAGACCGTGGTGTAGCGCGAGTAGTCGTCAACAACTATCAGGAAGTACCTCTCCTGACCCTGACCACGGACGCGGGCTGGGCCCCACACGTCCATGTGGAGCGTCTGCAGGGGAGCGGTCGTCGGGGGAAAGGAGGAGGAGTGAGGAGCGGCGCGCTGCCGCCCCTCGACACAGGGAATGCAGTCAGGAGCAGGGGAGTCAGGAAGGGGAGGGAGCACCCTGGGAAGACCAGCAACAAGGTCCCGTTTGTGCATGGCCCGCAGGCGCTGCACAGACGGGTGACCAAGGCGGTGGTGCCAGAGGACGGTGTCGTTCGCCAGAGAGCGACACGAGCAGGGGGCGGACAGCTGACCTGACGCTGACGCAGACGCAGCTACCTGAGGGGACTCAGTGGTCAGTGTGTACAGGTCAGACCCCGGCTCTCGAGTGAAAGTAGCCAGGTGGCGGCCCGTCCGAGCACACGTGCAGTGAGTCACACGCTCGTAGGCAGGGGTGAACTGGTGAACACCCGAGTCCTGGAGCGCACTACCTGCCACCAAGTTCGTGGAGAACGAGGGGAGGTAGAGACCTGAGAGTGTGCCGGACGGAACCGCTGGACACGGAAGGGTGGTGGAGGAGGTCGCAAGGACCGGACCCCCAGAGGGGTCAGCAAGAGAGACAGCAACCGGCCGAGCTAGAGGCTCAAGGACAGTGCGGTCACGAAAGAAAGAGCGAGAAGCACCTGAGTCCAGTGTGAAGGTGTGCAGTGCTGCAGTCGACTCAGTACCAGGGGGCACAGACGCACAAGCACCTAGAGCAGCAGCTGCAGTAGTACCTGTGGAAGCAGACACACTAGCACCTAGAGCAGCAGCGGGGCTGGCCTGAATGCCCGGGTCGGGCGGAACACGCAAGTACTGAGCACCCTCTCCACTAATAGACATCGCATACATGGCAGTGAGAATAGCATCAAAGTCAAGTGCCCAAATATCAACACCCTTCCTGAGCAGATCAGCCCAGCGCGGCAGCTCACCCCCACCAGGAAACTGGGTGCGCCACGCATCGTTGAGGCGGGCGAAGCAGCGCTCCGTCTGGTGCGGCCCCCCACACATCTGGCCAGTGCGGTCACCTGTACGAATAACGTACTGGCAGGTGACGCTGCGTCGCGCATACCACTCACGGGCGGCCTGAAGGGTCGGGGAAGGCTGCTGACTCTGACCGCCCCCCGGGCCTCCACGACCACCACCCCCTCCGCCTCCGCCCCGGCCACCTCCACCCCTGCCGCTGCCACGACCACCTCCGCCTCCGCTGCCACCTCCGCCCCTGTCACCACTCCCAACACCGCTGTCACCTCCACCACTGCCGCCACTAGTCTCTCCAGTCGCACCTCCACCGCCACCACCTCCACCCCCGCCTCCTCCGCCACCACCCCCACTCCTGCCACTCCTGCCCCTGCGTCGTCCGCCTGAAGCAGACGCAGCCCCGACCTTCTCAGCACCAAGGAGGTCGACAGCAGCAGCAGAGGCGACAGAGGGGAGGAGGGGGGAAGGGGAGCACCCCTCGAAGAAGGGGCCGCGGGGGTCGCCACGAGAGGTGCCTACAGCGACGATACTAGCCTCGGCTGCAAGCAGTTCCTTCTCGAGGAGGGCTATGGTGAGCTCAGTGGGGGAGCGAGAGAGGAACTGGTCCCTGACAGGGCGCAGAGAGTCAGGGAGGCGGGTGACAACGTGGTAGAGAGTGATCCAGAGCGGGGGGGGGTTGCTAGCGAGAAACTCATCAGGCATGGCAGCGCGAAAGCGAGCCTCACTAGTCTTAAGGTGGGTGATGAGGTCTGCGACAGTGTGAAAGGAGGCTAGGTCGGGGAACAGGTAGGGGAGAGTGAGGCGGCCTAGTGTGGCAGAAGCGGGTGAGGAGTAGCGGGCCACTACAGCTGTGTAGAGGTCCTTAGCAGTCTTGCACTGGCCGAAGTGCTCGCGCTCATCTAGCGGCAGGGAGTTGCGAATAGCAAAGCGAGCGTGCGCGTCACGGGTCTGCCACTGTGAGCGCTCAGCTGGGGGGGCAGTAGCGAGTGGGGCGGTCGCATGGCCGAGAGCGTGGTCGTACAGTGTAATATCTTCCTTGGCAGTGAGCTGTAGGAAAAGGTGCAGGTCATCTAGCCAGGTTTCGAATTTGACCGGACGGCCCTCGGCGTCGAAAGCTAGAACAGGAGGACTAGCCATAGCGACAGCGGCAGTAGTAGAAGCAGTAAAGTCACTGAAAAGGCGTGCGCAGGGTCAGCGGGGCCGGTGGGGCCTACGGACTGTAGTGGCGCACAAGCAGTAGTAGCAGAAAGTGTAGTAGTAGGAATGCAGTGGTGCACAGGCGCAGCAGGCGGCAGCGAGAGCCGGCGTAGTAGGGGCGGGCTCAGCAGCGGTGATTCGCGGGCGACGGCGGGCGCAGCAGCGGCGGTGCGCGGGCGGCGGCGGGCTCAGCAGCGGTGGTGCGCGGGCGGCAGCGGGCGCAGCAGCGGCGGTGCGCGGGCGGCGGCGGGCTCAGCAGAGGCGGTGCGCGGGCGGCTGCGGGCTCAGCAGCGGTGGTGCGCGGGCGGCAGCGGGCGCAGCAGCGGCGGTGCGCGGGCGGCTGCGGGCTCAGCAGAGGCGGTGCGCGGGCGGCTGCGGGCTCGGCAGCGGCGGGCCGGGAGCAGTGCGGGCAGCGTGCGGGCCGGCGGCGGTCAGCGCACGAGCCGCGCAGGCTCAGCGCGGGCTGCGCGGGCTGCTCGCGGGCTGCGTAAGCGGGTCGCGGGCGGCTCGCGGGGGTTCGCGGGCAGGTCGCGGGCTGCTCGCGGGCAGTTCGCGGGCTGTGCGCGGGCTGCGCGGGCTGGTCGCGGGCTGCGCAGGCGGTTCGCGGGCTGCGCGTGGGCGGTTCGCGGGCTGTGAGCGCGGCGCGCTGTGCGGTTCGCGGGCGGCGTGACGGGGCCGATCGGGGCGCTAAGGGGCGACGCGACGGGGGCCGTGAGAGGCCGCTAAAAAAAAATTCGAAGGGGCCGCAGGGCCGCTAGATCGTGCTAGATCGACGGGGCCATCGGGGCCGAAAAGAAGCGAAGGTAAGCAGGTAGGTAAGTCGGTGGGCCCTAAGAACAGTCCTAGCGAAGGACCTGCTCTGATACCATGTCAGAAATAACTGAGCAGGAATGGATGAACTAGAACAGAGTTTGGTACAAGTAGGAAACCCTAACTTTGTGTACCCCCTAAGGTGTAACCCACTACAGCCTAGACAATATAAACATGCAATGTTTGACAAGGAGTACAAGAAATCAAATAGCAAACTTGCTAGCCATATACTATGAGATATGCATTCCCTTATTAACTATACTGCATAACTACAGCAACCACGACTATTGCCATTCTCGACAGTTACCATGTTGCAGCAATTAACTGCCGTGCGGTTACTGGTCGGTCAAGGGTCACGACCCTTGACTGCCTTCGACTGTTGACCTTCGAGTGACTCTAGATCTTCCGCGTGCTCCATATAAGCTATTGCGGTACTGGTACAGTGCGTTGCTTCGTTAAGGAGTAGCAGATTGGCAGGAGACCTTCGGGAATGCTTATAATAAGCTTTTGGTTATTCAAACAACCATTATTATCAAGGATCAGACTCCAATAAGGGTACATTCATGTGTAGATACAAATGTCTCAATGCCCTATTTCCTGAGTCGTGCTACACATTTTTTCAATGTCGCGTCTCAAACATTAGATATATCGCGACACTAGGCGATCGGGCGAAAAATACAATTGTGTGCATCTGATTGGGTTTCGGAAATGACTGTACACCACTTTCATCAAACGCTTGGCTGGGGTGTGGTTTTGACGCGCTGAATTTTTTTCCCGCGCGGAATTGTCATTGTGGGGTGTCCAACTACATTGACATTTCGGACCGCGGACTACTTTTTGAAATTGATGGGTCAATTTACAACTCGTCGGCGACGTCAGCGCGTTTCACAATGACCAATTTAAACTACAGTACATGTTGCAGAAACATGACTCGCAATTGGGACACAATACAGTTTAGGCTGTTTTTGGGTGTCACAAAGTGATTGAGACACAAATGTCGACACACGGATGTACCCTAAGATCCTAAGGGCTTTAGTTCAGACCCTAAACCCTGACATGAGTGATACCACTATGGTAATCTGTCAAGGATTATGTATGAATATGGTCATTCAGTTTTTGCTGTTTCAAAGGCTTCTAACTATATTTGCATGATTTTCCAGCCGTTATTGTCAGAATCACTAGGCAAGAATGATGAAACAGCAGAAGTTTTGGGTACAAATATGAAACCCTAGTTGGGGTTGTACCCCATATTGGCTACCCCACTACAGCCTACAAGCATACTACAGTTTAACACACCCCCATAGGCAAAGTGGGGGAGAACAAAGGGTCACAAGACCAGTCCAGCAAAGCAAAGCAACGCCCAGGGTGGATCACAACGTCACCACACTCCGAGCACAAGTAAAGGCCACAAGGCCAGTTCACATGCAGTGCTAGATATAGTACAAGACAAGCAACACAGTGATCAAAACCTAGCAAGCAAGCAACAAGATATATATAAAGTACAGTACAAAGAATGTCAAGCAGTGAGCAAGTGAGGAAACGTGGACACAAGGCCTAAAGAAGTACAGTGCCGCTGATGATCACTAGGCGGGAGCGCCTTGGTGAAGATATCAGCAGTGTTGGCCTTCGAGTCCACGTACACAAGCCGAAGCTGACCGCGCTGCTGAAGCTCTCGAGCAAGAAAGTAGCGAAGAGCAATGTGCTTCGTCCTGTGCTCCAGTCTGTGCTCCTGACACAAGGCAAGAGCCGCCTTGTTGTCACCGTACAGAACTGGAGGAGAACTAGGCCGCTCTCCCAAGTCAGTCAGCAGGTAGGTGAGCCAGCGTAACTCCTGTGCAGCCATGGCTGTGGCGTAGATCTCAGCCTCACAACTAGAGCCGAGAACAGAGGAAGAGCGGGTGGACCGCCACGAGACAGAACCTGAGCCAAGGCTGAAGGTGTAACCCTGTGACGACCGCTGCGTAGCCAGGTCGTCCACCCAAGAGGCGTCCGAGTGACCAGTGAGGACAACTCTGTCGCGTCCTCCAAGCACCAGCCCCATGCCTGATGTACTGCACAGGTAACGCAGCACCCTCTTAGCAGCCTCCCAGTGCTCTCGCCTGTGTCTCCTAGGCGCAACGTAACGAGCAAGGATGCTAAGAGGGTACGCGAGGTCAGGTCGCGTGCAAGTCATCAGGTACATGAGGCAGCCTACAAGCTCTGGGTACGGGCCACTCGGCTCTACGGACTCGTCCGAAGGTGGAGCTGAGAGCGAGTGGCTGGTAGCCAGAGGTGTGGCCTGTGGTGAGGAGAACTGGAAGCCGAAGCGCTGAAGGACCTGCTGCACCATGTGTGACTGAGTCAGGGTGATGGTGCGGCGAGCTCTGTCCCGGGTGATCTGCAAGCCAAGGTAGCTACGCAGTTCACCCAGGTCAGTGCAGGTGTGTCTCTTCTGCAGCTCCGACTTCACACGAGCGAGTGCCTCAGTGTCAGCAGTAGCAAAGACCAAGTCGTCGACGTACACGAGAATGTAGAACGGCGGCAGCGACGTGTCTGTGCGCAGAAACAGCGACGGGTCAGCAGTAGACGGCGCGAACCCAAGAGCCGCAAGAGTAGTCCTCAGTGTGTCGTGCCACTCACGTGGCGCCTGGCGGAGACCGTAGACTGGCCGGCGGAGACTCCACTGGGTACCAGGGGGAAACGACCCAGTAAAGCCAGGTGGGCGGCGCAGCCAGATCTCCTCGTGCAGGCTGCCCTGCAGGAAGGCTGTGCTGAAGTCAAGAGAGTGAAGCTCGTAGTCACGCTGAGCGGCAACGTGCAGCAGAACCCGAAGAGTGGTCATCTTCGGGGTGGGGGAGAAGGTCTGGAAGAAGTCGACCCCCTGACGCTGACTGAAGCCTCTAGCAACGTAACGAGCCTTGAAGACAGGCGGAGAACCTGGCGGCCGCTTCACCCTGAAAATCCACATGCCATCGACGATGTTCGCCCCAGGAGGGGGAACCTCATCGACGTAGGTGCCTGTGGACTTCGAGGATGCCATCTCTGCGTCCATGGCTGTCTGCCACTGAGAGGAGTAGGGACCCGAGATCGCCTCTGCGTAAGTGCGCGGAGTGGGGATGTCTAGTGCATCCGGGTCTCCCTCAGGGGCAAGCAACCAGGCCACGAGATGAGGTACAGCAGCCGCAAGAGAGTCAAAGTCCTCCTGCCTGTCCTCAAGGACGTCCGTGCCAAGAGCACACTCACCCCCGACGGACGGAGGACAGACAGACGCAGACTCAGACTCAGCAACAAGGCTAGCAGCGTAGTCTAGACGACAGGCAGCAGCAAAGTCAACCAACTCAGCGACCAGAGCAGACGCAGCCGAGGACTCAAAGGTAGGGTCAGTGACAACAGTAGCGAGGAGACGCGTGACTGTAGGGTGCTCAGCGCGATACCGGTCAGACTCAGGGTCCGGAACGGCAGGCAAAGAGGACGCAGGAGGAGACGGTAGAGGGACACGCCGAGGAGCAGTAGAGGGACGTAGAGTCATGTAGTGAGTGCCTGGGACAGGAGGAGGACGCTCACGACGGACACGACTACCAGTGCGAGCAGGACGAACAGGCGACGCAGGACGAGACTCAGGCTCACGACGCTCTGTAAGACCTCCTGTGGGACCAGTATAAGGAGAGGGAGCAGGGAGAGGCGAGGCAGGCGGTAACTGTGACTGCGGCTGGACAGGCGGAGGACACTCTACGGAGGGAGGAGGACAAGGAGGAGGAGCCTGCCCAAGAACCTGCTGAAGGAGCGGTACGAAGTACGGTCGCGGCCGCGCAGCGTCTCCAGAAGCAGAAGGGACTCCAGCGGCCGGGTCCTCAGCACCAGTAGGAGCTCCAGCGTCCGGGTCCACAGCACCAGCAGCAGCTCCACCGGCCGGGTCCCCAGCTCCAGCAGCAGCTCCACCGTCCGACTCCTCAGCACCAGCAGCAGCTCCACCAGGTGGGTCCGCAGCACCAGCAGCAGCGCCACCCCCAGAGTCGGCAGCTCCAACTCCGCTAGCACCGCCAGCGCCAGAGTCCCCAGCTCCAGCAGCTCCAGTCGCAGTGCTCCCAGAACAGCCAGTCCCGGCAGCTCCAGTACCCCCAGTACGAGCACCCCCAGGTTGAGTAGCTCCAGCACCCCAAACTCCAGCCGAGCCACTAGGACGGCGAAAGCGTCGGACGTACCAGTCACGAAGCTGCTGCGGTGTGAGAGACTGCTCAGCACCCCGAACCGGAGCACCCCCAGACACAGTAACCCGAGGCTCCGTAGGCTCAGTAGCAGCACCCCCAGGCTCAGTACCCGCAGGCTCAGTACCCGCAGGCTCAGCACCCCCAGTCGCAGCACCCCCAGGCTCAGCACCCTCAGGCACCGTACCCTCAGCTCCAGCACCCTCAGTCCCAGCACCTGCAGCCCCAGCACCCCCAGGCCCAGCACCCCCAGGCTCAGCACCCCCAGGCTCAGCACTCCCAGCAGCACCACCCGCAGCAGCACCTGAGTCACCTGTGACCTCGACAGGCTCAGCGACGGGAGGAGGGTCTACCTGAGAGACACCTGAAGGAGCAGGACCCTGAGGGGGAAGGGGGTCTACCGGAGGGGGACCAGGAGCAAGGAAAAGTGGCGGGGGAGGGAGGGGGGCAGTGCGGTAGGGGAAGAGACGGTAAAAGGGGACCGACTCGTCAAAGGTGACATCCTGAGAGGCGAAGACCCGGCGCGAGGTGGGGTGGTAAAACTGCCAGCCAGGCGCGTCAGGGACAAAGCCAAGGAAGACACAGGGAAGCGTGCGGGAGGAGAGCTTGTCCGCAGACGTATCGCGGACAAGGGCACGAGCACCCCACACCCGGAAGCGCGACGCATCGCCAACCTCCCCCGTCCAACGCAGTGTGGGCGAGGTCTCCGGCAAGGAGACACGGGGCCAGAGGTTGAGCTGATGCGCGGCGTACCGGACAGCAAACGGCCACAGAAAATGGGGAGCCGCCGCGTGGACCAAGGAGGTACGAGCGACCTCCATGACCAGGCCAATGCGACGCTCAGCAACCCCATTCTGCTGTGGGGAGTCCGGAAGCGTGAAGGTCTGCTCGATGCCCTCCGCCTGACAGAAGGTCCTCAAGAGGTCGGAGGAAAACTCACCACCTCTGTCAGAGTGCAGACGCAGGACAGGAAGATCCGTCCGGAAACGGCGGCGGAGCTGGAGACGAACCGTGCGGATCCAAGGGATCAGAACAGCAGGGACCTCACCCTTGGTGCGCAAGGGGAAGACCGTGGTGTAACGCGAGTAGTCGTCGACAACCAGCAAAAAATACCGCTCACCGCCCTGACCACGAACGCGGGCTGGGCCCCACACGTCCAGGTGGAGGGTCTCCAGAGGAGCCTCTGTCGGGGGGAACGAGGAGGAGTGAGGAGCGGCGCGCTGCCGCCCCTCGACGCAAGGAAGGCAAGGCGGCGCAGGCGAGGCAGGGAGGGGAGGGAGGGACCTGGGAAGACCGGACACAAGGAGGCGACGGTGCATGCCACGAAGGCGTGGCAAGGAGGGGTGACCCAGGCGGTGGTGCCAGAGAAGAGTCTGGTGCGACAGGGAACGACACTCACAGGCGTGGGCCACCAGACCTGACTCAGACACCTGACCGACAGCAGCTACCTGGGGAGACGCAGTGGTCAGTGTGTAGAGACTCGACCCCGGCCGACGGGTGAACGTGGCCAGGTGACGGCCGGTCCTGGAGCACGTGCAGATCGCCACACGCTGTCCGCCACTGAACCCGACGTCCCACGCTGAGCAAGCCACTCACGAAGCTGCTGGGTCGTCTGGGGACGCTGCTGCTGCTGGGAGCTCTGGCCAGAGCCAGTGCCTCCACTCCGACCTCCGCCACCACCACTACCACCGCTCCGACCGCCACCGCCACCACCGCCACCACCGCCACCGCCGCCACCGCCGCCGCCGCCACTACTGCCACTGCTCCCTCCGCCGCCCCCGTCTCCACCACCGACCCCACTCCCACCAGCGCTCCCGCCACCGCTCCCTCCAGCACCGCCTCCCCCCCCACCTCCCCCACCTCCTCCCCCACCAGCGCCACCACCACCACTTTTGCCCCCCTTGCCCTTGCCGGTGCGGCGCCTCCCACCAGGAGTAGAAGCAGCGCCAACAGACTCAGCACCAAGGAAGTCAACAGCAGCAGCAGCAGCGTAGGAGGGAGCGAGGGGAGAGGGAGAACACCCCTCAAAGATGGGGGTGCGAGGAGCGCCACGAGCAGCACCGACAGCTACAATGCTCTTTTCGGCCGCGAGCAGGTGCTCCTCTAGGAGGGCGACTGTGAGCTCAGTGGGACAGCGAGCAAGGAAGTGGTCTCGAACTGAGCGGAGGGTGTCAGGGAGACGGGTGACTATGAAGTGGAGTGTCCAGTACAGTGGAGGGGGGTTCTTAGCGCAGAACTCGGTGGGAAGGGCGGCACGCAGGCGAGCATCACTAGTGCGAAGGTGGGTGATAAGATCGGCGACTGTAGTAAAGGTGGACAGATCGGGGAACAGGTACGGCAGCATGAGGCGGCTAAGCTCGGCTGTGGCAGGCGAGGAGTAGCGAGCGACGACAGCGTCGTACAGGGCCTTAGCGGATTTGCAGTCGCCAAAATGCTCTAGCTCAGCTAACGGCAGGTGACTGCGAATGGCTAGGCGAGCAGCTGCGTCACGAGTCTGCCAGTGGGAACGAACACTAAGCTCAGCTGTGGCAGGAGGGGCAGGCGCAGCACCAGACGCGTAGTCATAGAGCGACACATGCTCCTTGCTATCGCTCAGGAGAAACAGCTGCAGGTCATCTAGCCAAGCGGTGAAACGCACAGGGCGGCCCTCAGCATCGAACGACAGCACGCGAATGGAAGCCATAGCGACAGTGTGACAGAGTAACGCAAGCTGCCGCAGCAGGGGAAGACGACTGTGCACGGATAGAGAGCAGCGGGCGAGGCTGGCGCTACGGGCAGGTGGCGCTGCAAGCGGTCAGTGCGACGGGAGGGCGACGCTGCGAGCGGGCAGCGCGGCGGACGGGCCGGGAAGCGGGCAGCGCGGCGGGCAGGCGGCGCTGCAAGCGGGCAGCACGGTGGGCGGGCGACGCTGCGAGGCGGGCGGGCCGCAAAGCGGGCAGCGGGCGGGCGGGCGGGCTGCGAAGCGGGCAGCGGGGCGAGCGGGCTGCGAAGCGGGCAGCGAGCGGGCGGGCGGGCTGCGAAGTGGGCGGGCCGCGAAGCGGGCAGCGGGGCGAGCGGGCTGCGAGGCGGGCGGGCCGCGAAGCGGGCAGCGAGCGGGCGGGCGGGCTGCGAAGTGGCGGGCCGCGAAGCGGGCAGCGAGCGAGCGGGCTGCGAAGCGGGCGGGCCGCGAAGCGGGCAGCGAGCGAGCGGGCTGCGAAGCGGGCGGGCCGCGAAGCGGGCAGCGAGCGGGCGGGCGGGCTGCGTAGCGAGCGGGCCGCGAAGCGGGCAGCGAGCGGGCGGGCGGGCTGCGAGCGGGCGGCTCGGCGAGGGGCGCGCGAGGGCGCTAGTGAGGGGCGCGCGAGGGCGCTAGTGAGGGGCGCGCGAGGGCGCTAGCAAGGGGCGCGCGAGGGCGCTAGCAAAGGGGCGCGCGAGGGCGCTAACGAAGGGGCGCGCGAGGGCGCTGACGTGAGTGCGCGCGAGGGCGCTAACGAGGGTGCGCGCGAGGGCGCTAACGAGGGCGCACGAGGGCGCTATGAGGCTAGGGCACGGGGTAGCGTGGTAACCGCATGCGAGCGGTGGTGGGCCCTAAAAAAAACGATCGGTAGGTCCTAGGGACCTCCTGCTCTGAATACCATGTCAGAATCACTAGGCAAGAATGATGAACTAGCAGAAGTTTTGGGTACAAATATGAAACCCTAGTTGGGGTTGTACCCCATATTGGCTACCCCACTACAGCCTACAAGCATACTACAGTTTAACAGTTATATAATGCTATATTACAGAATAATCATAATGCAACTGACTTTGATCAAGTTTTGGAAGTATACAAACTGACTTCCGAGGAATGGCATAGCGAATTGCTAGGCAAAAATCGATAGCAAAAACTGCTTCGGTCGGGAGCATGACGAAGGTTATGGGGCTGTCTCGAAAGTGGTTTGGGTCCGATTAGTCAGGCCGAACCTGCTCTGGCAAGAAGTTCGGAAACCAGCAGAAACGCACGCGAAGCCGATTTACCGAAGTAAACCGAGGTATGATTGGAACCCACATTTTTCGGCACACCTTCTTGCCTCGGCAGCGCGCGCAGCGTGCACCCTCCTGTCTGCTCGACTCCCTCCCTGACGACCAGGGGTCTTGATTCGTTTTGGGGCACTCTGTCAAATAAAAATTCCAGGTCGACGTCACACTGCCACTGCAGTGTGGCTGCCGCGTCGAACCCTAGAAATGGCAGGGTGTTAAATATTTTCTGGTCTGGTATGGCAGGGTGGGAAAAAAATTAGGCTGCAGTGGTCTGTGTGAGTGTCTGTCTCCGTGAAAAACTTAGCCAGTTTTTGAGCACTCCGATGCCTGACGCGGCGTATGTGAGTGTTTCTGTAGAAAGTACTTAGCCAATTTTCGAGCACAGCCGATGCTTGACGTGGTTTATGTGTGAGTGTCCTTGTGTCAGGACTTAGCCAGTTTTCGACCACATCCGATTCTTGTTCTGGTGTATGTATAAGTGTCTCCGTGGAAAGGACTCAGCCAGCTTTTGAATGGCTAAAATTCCAGTCAGAGTGCTGCCACTACGGAACTCGGCCAAGGCAGTGTGCTACAAGAACCAACAGGCCTGATCGTGACAGGTTGGTAGAACCAGTGGATTCTGTATTTACAGTGTGGTCTGAAAAAACGACCCTGAAAAACAGGCTAATCGGGGTAAAATGCCCTGCAATCCTGAGGCCTGCTGACGACCCCAAGGCTTCCCTCTCTGCCTTCCCTCCACTCACCACTCACCACCTTCACACCTGCCTGCCTACTTGTAGTACAAATCAGCAGCTCGCACTCCAACTTCTCTCATCACACCAGCCTCAAGCAAGCTTCAGTTGTTACCAACATCAGTAGCTCTCAGCCTTTCGGTCCCGTTTTCATTCAGCCTAAGAATGGCCTCAGTGTCCAGCGCGAAGAATTCCTCCTATTCGGCAGCGCTGAGCTTCTGGAAGAGTCTCGACAAGGAGAGCTCGAGGGCATCACAGCGCGTACAGCCGGTGAGCGAGTCGTCGAGCAGCGGATCGAGTGACGCCTGCCGTTCTTCCGCCGTAACACCCCGCTGCAGCGCCTCTCACGCGACCACCTGCTGCGACTGCACCGACGACGACCATCGCGGCGCTCACGCCGCCGCGGAATGCAACCACGCGTGCGCTCGCCACGACGCAACGACGGAACCTGCTGTGACGAAATCTGCTGCAACAGAATCAGCGTCGGAATCCGCAGCGTCGGAATCAGCTGCTTTGGAATCAACGGCTTCTGAATCAGCAGCGTCGAAATCAGCGGCTTGTGAATCAACGGCTTCGGAATCAGCGGCTTCTGAATCAGCGGCTTCGGAATCACCGTCTTCGGAATCAGCGGCTTGGGAATCGGCGGCTTGGGAATCAGCGGCTTGGGAATCAGCGGCGGCTTGGGAATCAGCGGCTTCGGAATCAGCAACTTCTGAATCAGCGGCTTGGGATGCGTTGGTGGCTTGCTTCTCAACCTCGTCAGCTGGTCGCACCAAGGCTGCAGAAACAACATCAGCAAGTTCGCTCCCACCGTCGCGCATCCCGAAACCAAGCAACAAGGGAGCGAGGATTAGGCGCGTGGAGGGAGCGACTCGAATTCCGCAGCCGAAGTGTGCCGTTCCACAGAGGGAGGTCAGGTGCTGAAGCTGCTGTGAAGCCGCCTTGCAGAACGTCCAAGGCCGCGCTGGCTGCCCTCCCAAGGCGCCCATGGCGGCCCGGACCGCCGTTTCCATGAAAAAGAAAAAGGAAGAAAACAGAAAAGACAAAAGAGTTGTTGAACGAAAAAAAAAAAGAGCAAGGTAGGAGGAGGGGTGGAAGGCAGGTAAGCGCAGGGAAGCACAAAAACACGCAGAGAGCAGCGACTGGTGGAGGTGGAGGTGGGATGGGTGTGGTGTGGATGGGATGGGAGATTCCGGTGGCATTACCATTTTTGCGCCCTGCTTCACAGCAGGGTGTTTGTGGGAATGTGGGTGGGCAGGTGGGTGGCGGTTGGAGGGGGTGAGGGAAAGTTGTGGCTGTGGTGCTGTGCTCTCCCAGGATGACTCTGCTGTGCGCTGCTGTGCTATCACTGCCACACTCCAACAATGGCTCCAATCCAAGCGCTGCTACTGCTGTGGGAAGAGCAAAAGCTAAGAATCTGACAGCAATACGGTAGATCCTGTCATGACACTAGGCAAGGTGCCATGCAACTGCCGTAGGTGACAAAGCATGTCATGTGTAGGTACCTTGCATATTTACATATTGTATATAATTGTTGAACCTTTGTTGAGCGTCCACTCTAGCAAACACTAGGTAAAGGGAAGAACAAGAGTGCTTGGCCTTGGCAAGGCACTAGCATGTACATGAGGTGCAGGCGTGGCAGTTGAGTTTTCCCTATGAGGTGCCCTGTGCTCCCAGGACGGCTGCTGTCGCGCCTGCTCAGTGGAGGCAGTGCGTGCAATGCTGGTGCTGCAGTGAGCCCAGTTGCAGCAGGGCAAAGGAGGGGTGAGTGGGTGTGGCGTGGGCGTTGAGTGGTGCGTGGGGAGAGATTGTGGAGGGGTGAGTGGTGCGGCTGCAGGGCGCTCAGCACGGCACGCGGGGGCTGGCTGCAGGCAGGATGAGGACACATGGGAAGGGGGGGAACTGATGGGCACACGCAGCATGTCCACTGGCGGATTCCTCCCAAGCCACCACTCCAACGGCACCCACGAGTCATCCCCAACCTTGGTGAGCACCCTGTTCCTAGCGACGGTAGCGTGCCGAACAGCGTGGGGCCACATGGAGTTGCCAAGCCCAGATTCTATGAGCAGCGCCCTAGCTGTCTCTAGAATGGTCCGGTTCGCCCGTTCTGCTACACCGTTGGACTGTGGGGTATAAGCCGTGGTCAGCTCCCTCTGAATGCCCTGCTTCTTGAGCCAGGCCATCATCTCAGCTCCAAGGAACTCACCACCCCGGTCTGTCCTGATCCGCTTCACCACACACTCCGCTTGCTTCTCCACGAACGGCAGCCAATCGTCCCGAATCGTGGAGGCGGCATGATCTTTCTGCTTCAGCGGATACGCCCACATTAGCCTGCTCCAGTCATCCACTATGGTTAGGAAATACCGCTCCCCCTTGTGCCCTTGCACCGGCAGCGGCCCCACCAAGTCCATGTGGACCAGCTCCAACGGCTTCTTGCTCCTGCCAGCCACACTATGGAAGGGGAAACGGGTGAACTTTGAAAGGAGGCAAATTTCACAGTTATCATCGGGTGGTTGTCCGTTCAGCTTCAAGCCCTTAACGGCTCCATCCTTCTCCAGCTGCTTCAACAAAGGCATTGCCACATGCCCTAAGCGCCGGTGTGCCGTTGCCCAATCTGTCTCCCCAGATCTGGCCGACACTTTCACACCAACCCCTCCAACGGCGTTGCACTCCCCCTGGGATGCAGACCCCTCTCCAGCCTGCCCCTCACCGTGCCACGCCAGGGCCGGCAGCTGCCACATAGATCTGTACACGTCCTTGCTCTCGTGCAGATCCCAAAGCACCCGATTGCCCAGCTTCCCCTTATAAGTGCGAGCCCCATCCGTGTTGGTGTTCACCCCAGCCTTGCCAAGCTTATGGAGGGAGATAAGGTTGGCCTTCAGGTCGGGGACGAGGAGAACATCGTGCAGCACCACCGGCTTGCCATCCGCTCCCTTAAACGCAGCTCGTCCCGCACCAGCCACCTTCAACATGTGTCCAGAGGCGGAGTACACGTCATTGATCGGTGCAGCGCGTACTTCGTCCAGCAGGTCCTTGCGCGGCGTCATCGTCCAAGCAGCGCCTGTGTCCAACACCCAATAGTCCAGGGGGTGCAGCTCTGCTCCAACTTTGGCAGAGGCGTCTCCTTGCTCCCCCTTGTTTCCCACATGGAAGAATTGGCCCGCGGTGCGCTCCTTCTTCTTCTCCGCACCGCCGTTGCCCTTCGGGTTGTTGTCGGACGAATCAGCGACCATATTGGCACAGTTTTTCTGGTTTCTCCGCAAGCCGCCATCCTGGTGACGATTCTGGGGGGTCCATCCATCGGGTTTCTTATAGCACAAAAACCAGGGGTGCCCTTCCTTCTCACAATACCAGCAACTCCCTTTCATTTTGCCACCAGCACCTGACTTGCCCCCACGTCCAGATTTCGCACCGCGACCCCAACCGGTACCTCCTTGTTGGTCGTTGGAGTCGTCGTCTTTCTTTGCACCGCGTCCAGTCCCACCGAAGCCACGTCCTCTGCCACGTCGGCTCCCTTGCATCCCGTAGCCGCTGCTGCCGTCGTCTCCACCCCTCAGTTGGCGGCGACGGAAGTCCTCCTCCAGAATCTTCGTCCGCACCCACTCGAGCGTCCACAAGCTCTGGTTCTGCGGCAGGCTTAATCCGCTCGTGAATTGAAGCCACGATTCCGGCAGCAGCGAGAGCATCTTCAGGCACTTGGTAGGTGATTCCCGCGATCGCCAGCTTCGCGTAGAGATCACGCATCTTGTCCAGGATGGGTTGCACCGGCTCTCCCTCGCTCAGGCGCAACGCGGACAGCTCCCTCTCCATCATGAGCGTCGCAGCGACGGAGGTAGGGGCGTGCAGCTCCTTCAACACCGTCCACGCCTTCGGACCGCACTCAACCTCCGGCAGCAGGTGCATGACGTGATGACGCTGGTTCAGCTCCAAACTCTGCGACATCAAGTAGTAGCCAGCCGAGGCGCGCTCGTCCCAATCTTCCTGCAGGGCGGGGTCACTCGGTCTAGGCTCCTCCCCAATCATTAGTTTCAGCAATCCAATCTGACGGAAGTAGAGTTGCATTTTCCAGGCCCAATCATCATAGCCCTCATCATTGAACTTCTCGACGGTAAAGTTCTTCAGCACCTCCTTGATCAGCGAGCCCTGGTTTGTTCGCGCTCCCCTTGGCGCCGAAACACCAGAATCTTGGCTGCCGCTACGATCTTGGGCTGAAGATTCACCAGCTCCTGCCGAGGTGTTGCCCGCCATAGCTACCTATAACGAGGATCGCTATAACGCAGCTCTGATACCAGCTTGTTGGTGTGAGGGCCTAATAAACTCAAGCTATTAGGACTTAATCAAACTTAAAACCTCTCCTCGGGGTCACCTCCAAGGGTCCCTGGGTGTCTGGTACAAGACCAGCCCCTATCCTCGGGTCCGAGTTTGTAGAGAGAGGAGTCAAGAAAGACTTAGCCAAAACAGCAACAGTACCTTGAACGTCACGCAGCGTGCCGTGCAGACCGTCGATCGGATTAAGCTGAGAATTCTCTATATCGAAGCTCGCTCCAAGAGCTTAAAAATAAGCCAAGTTGCCTTGCGAAAAGTTCTGCCATTACGAAGTTATGGCTCGGACAGCGTTTGCCTAGCGTTGGAGTGCTAGCGTACTAGCGTTGACTCGGGTAGCATTCCGCCGTCGAACCGCGTAGAAAAAAAATTCCAGCGAGGAAGGAATTCGCATGAATCAATTGACTATGTTCAGGTACAAACAGAGAAGGAATAAATAGCTCTAGCTAGCAAGGACCTTGGGAATCAACCTGGGAACAACCAGGGATGATCCCAAATAATTCCAAGCAACAGAACCAACCTGGCTGGACAAAACAGCAGGTGGTAGGTTGGAAAACAACCTCTGGTTCTGTTTTTCCAACCTGGGAAAACAACAACCAGGTTCAGGTTCTTTTGTCTTTGCCCGACCAGCCAAATGCTGGTTCTGCTGGTTTCCCCTGGCCTTGCAGCATGCAGATACAGACAAACAACATCCAACCTTCACCTAAATTGTACCCCTATAGTGCCTGCCTTGCTACACTATAGTCAACCAAACATAACAGTACAATTTCGAGTTGGATAGAACTGAATCTGCGCAATCAACTCAACCGAACTGCAAAGCTTCCATCTTGGGTTCCTTTGCAAGCTCGTCCTTTCTGCTTGCACTGTTCATAACGCGTACAATGTTGTGCCGAAGCGCACATTGCGCGAGTACCTGGAAATGCTTCAAGCGAAAATTGCGAAAGCAAACAAACACACGAACATACCATGCACACGCAAATGCACTTGCACACGCATACTCGTACAAACAGACGGCAGGATGTCGTGCAAAGTGAATTTGCACCCAACACCACCTGTCTGCTCAGTGCAAGGAGAAGGAGCAGGCAATGGTGAGCCAGGCAGTAACGGACGACTAGTAGAAGACGGGAGGCTAAGAACCTGGCGAAGCACATAGTCAGACGGTGGCTGAGACGACGGAGACGGCGGAGCGAAGAACAGTCGCGTCGGTGCAGTGCCACCAGTAACAGCAGCAGCACCTCCAGCAGCTCCAGCACCCCCAGCGCCAGTACCTCCAGGACCAGCGCCACCAGCAGCAGCACCCCCAGAACCGGCACCTCCAGTCCCAGGGTCTCCAACCTCTGTGTCTCCAGCAGCAGCACCCCCAGAACCAGCACCTCCAGTCCCAAGGTCTCCAGCCTCAGTGTCTCCAGAAGCAGCACCCCCAGATGCAACACCTCCAGCCCCAGCAGCTCCAGTACCTCCAGTACGAGCACCTCCGGGACCAGCGACTCCAGCACCTCCAGTACTTAAAGTACCAGCACCACTTCTAGCTCCAGCGACGTCAGCAGAAGTACCTCCAGCAGCAGAGCCCCGAGCTCCAGCAGCGCGACCCTGACGGCGACCGTACCACTTGTGCAACTGCTGTGAGGTGAAAGGCGTACGCGGACGAAGGCGGCCACTCCAAGGAGACCGCGCACCAGCAGTCGCAGTA